TTATATAGGTAATATTGTCGAATAAATGTCAATTCCGTTTAAATAAATTTAGTTTAGACGGTAAACACTACTAAACATCACGTGATTAAATATGCACTAAATTTTAATTGATAATTTGATTAATTTTATCTAGATAAAACAAAACATTTAAGACAATAGTACAACTCGAATGAAGCTGTATAGCCTAAAATTATAGTTAGATAATTCATAAAAATAATAATGGTATCAGTAACCATGGCAATGGAATCCCGAATCTGCAACAAACAAGCATATTATAAATTATTATTTTACACGTTGTTTAGAAACTTTAACTAAATTACTTTTTTTCTACAAGCTGTATTAGCATTTTTTGAATTTATAATTTGTATTTTTATGTACGTGATACAAATAAAACCCTTTTTAATTGCTGATTATGTAGTAAATTATATAGGTACTTGATTTTTTTTTAAACGTAATAATTAAATAATACTTTTACATTAATAAAAATAATATATTGTTTTAGGGAGGGATTTATAACGAGATTTAAAAGTTTGAAATTTAAGTCAAATACTCGAGTATTAAACCAAAACCAATTTTACTTATTGAATTATACAAATTTTAAATAAATCACAAAATGTCTACAACAGTTTAAATGTATTTCTTCATTTACAATTTATATTACGACAATTTTAAATTGGGTTGTAAATAATTTTTATTCTTATTGAAAATACTATTTGTTATTCAAAATGTTCCAATTTTTGTACAAATAATAAAACAGGTGATTTAAAATGCACTCGTTTATAATTCTAACAAAATCAGTATAATGATATAAAAAACAACAGGAATGGGCAATAAATTATTGTTCAAATATTAAGTTTTTTTTGTTTGTTAGATAACACTTTTTGAATTGAATAATTATTTTAATTATTTTGTGTTACATTCATTGATTGAAAGTTAGTTTTAAATCATTAAATCATATTTAAAACTAAAATATTTGTTTACAGTTTTCAGTAAAAATAAACCTCTAATTGTATAATAAAATTAATATGAAAATATGGTTTGCTTTAATTATATTTATAGAATTTATGGATCCCTGAAAATTAAAATGAATATTTATGATTGTACCCTATTTATTTAGTTATTTATTTATTTTTGATTCTCAAAGAAAATGTTAGTTTGTCAAATTTACATATGGATAATTTTATTTTGAAGTTAAATTCTATAAATATGTTAAACATTTATTATAAGTTATTTTTACAAACGATACTATAATGACCATTAAATATACATTTTATTTTTATTTTAAATGAGTTAAATCTTTTATTACTTTTACGCATATTATTTTTTAGTATTCAACTTATCAATTATTTAATATACCTGTATTTTACCGAATAAATTATTATTTATTAATGATTAAACAAATAATTTATATATAGAAATTAATTAATTAATTCTTAACCTGAAGTATTATTAAATTAGTAAAGAATGGCTGGTTTATTAGATTTTATATTTATTTATATTTTATTATTTATTATTTATGTTTGATATGCATTATTAATTACTATATTCATGTTACTACTACTATTATTATTATTAGAATACAATACATACTTATCCTAATCATAAAGGTATACTGTACCTATTGATATAAAATATAATTATATATTTATTTATTGAAAATTTGATTATTATATTAATTTTTTTTAAATTTTGTAAATCTTGACCCTAGTAGATTTTATGGATGAGAATCATCAGACTTTCAAACAAAAAATTGTTGGCACACCATCACTTACTGTCATGGTGTTCGCCAACGGCTGTTTCCAGTAAACAATTATAAGAATCCACCGAATCCTTTTTTGTTAGCATTCCATCTCCAGAATAAGAGACCCTTTGTTGTATTTGCCAAAACGTGAATAAGGCATTTGATAGTTAGAGTGACAGTTATTGTTTACTTTTGTTATACCAGTGTGTGTGATAACAATGGTACATAAACAATGATAATAGAAAAGTTGAAACTAAACAAAATTCAAATACATATTATTCCATATATGTCTATATGATGTCTATATAATTGTTTATTTTAATTATATCTATGCCAAATTCTTATTTTGGGTATTTATTTTTAAGATAAATTCATTACGATTGATTTTTTGATAATTGATTTGATTTAAAGATTTTAATGCTGACAAATATAAACTACAAATAAAAATTTTAGAGGTATTTTATAATACAAATTAATAAATAAGTTTTTAATTATTATATTATTAATGATAGCCAAAAATTAAATTGCAATATTTTATAACAGTTTTATATAATTCATTATTTAGCGTATAATATATATTTGTATTTCATGCTAATTAGTAATGTAGAATATCTGAACAATATAACAAGCTCATTATATCTATAAATAATTATAAAGCTTTATATAACATTTGTACACTGTGTATACCTACCTACTGTAAACAGTACATATATTTAAACAAATTAAACGAATTATAAGGAATAACAATTAAAATCTACATTGTCATACTATATTATAGCTAGTTAGAAGACTCGTCGCTAGAGTACAAGAAAGTCATGCGTTGATTTAGGGCGGCATACGATTTAAAAAAAAATTGAAGCGGCAATATTAGATAAATATGAACAATGGTCTACAATAATTACTATTATGTGTCTTTAATAATATCGTATTATCTCCACTAACTCGCTGTGACATCGAATGTGCAATATCTTTAATAAAGATTGACAATACGATTTTCGCTTTAAGGCAGAATATACAGGATGCGGCTGAAAAATCTTCTTGATTTGTGAAACATATAAAAACTAAACCAAATCAAATATAAAAATAATTTTTTTTATTTATAAATTATACACATAATGCTATTTTATTTTAACTTTATTTAAAAATTACATAATTTAGGTGGTGGCTCTTATTTTCAATACGGGTCATTTCAAGCGGGATGGTAGCAATTCTCTAGTTTATTACCTCCTTTAGGGCATCCACAGTTTGAGGATGATGTCGGTGCACTTGGCTTTTGAAATTACTCCGAGGAAAAAATTATATGGGCTCAAATCTGGTGAACGTGGTAGGTACTCATTGTCATCAAGTAATGAGATAATATGCTCATGAAATATTTCTCGCATATAACATATCCGCTATTCGTGTGATTGCACCATCTTGTTGGAACAAGAATGAAACAAGCATTGAAATAAATATTGACAAGATAATGTGTGGTTTCAACAAGATGGTATAACCACACACACAGCGCATCAGTCACTCAGAATTCTGCGAGAAAAAGTTTCATGGGTATATATCAAGACACATCTTGACTTGGCGGCATTGGGTGGCCACCGCTTTCACTAGATTTTAGCCTATATAAATTTTTCCTCTGTGGTTATCTCAAATGCTATGTGTATACCAATATCGTTTCCAAATTGTGAAAGTCCCAAAGGAGGTAATAACCTGGGAAGTTGCTGTCATCTCGTCTACTAAAAACTACCGAAAAATGCTTAATCGATATATTGAAAATGAGAACCGTCATTTAAGTGATGTGATTTTTAAAATAATTTAAATAAAATGAAATATATCATGTTTCCTTGTCTCTATTCAGCAAAGATTCTTGAATATATCTAAAGTATTTCTAAGTTGAAAGGACTTACTCAATGTCTATTTTTACTTAATACTTTACTCATACTAAATTATTACTGTAATTATTTTTCATATTTATTATTCTTGAGGTATACTTATTCTTATTCATTAATTTGAATCTTACCAAGTTCTTTAAAATGTCACCTTATTTAAAAATATATTTTTGTAAGTATCTTTGCAGTAAGTAATTTGGTTATATATAATTGTTTATGATCTAACCGTAATTGCTATGATCTGAAAAAGCTATTGATCGATCATTATAACTAGCCACGTTGGTAAAAATGAATTCCCTTGCTCTGAAATACTTCGTATTTTATATTTTGTCTTATTTTATAGTATGAGCTTTTCATTTGAAATTGAGCAATGACCATTTAATCGTAGCAAGTATTTCGAAACGTGATTTTTTTTTTTTTTTTGTAAATGAGCATAATAAATTATTACTAATTTCAAGGTTCTTTAACCAGTTATACTTACTTTTTGACTTAAAAATCATCATATTAGATTTTTCAATAAATTTGCAATCGTTACGTGTTTAAAGACCAATCAATTAAAATTTATTTTGAAATTATTGATTGATAAAATTATAACTGTGCAGTGCACCCCTAATATTAATATTTTAATTATACCATAAACTGCGTTTTATCAGTAATAGCATTTTAAATTAATTGTTCGTTATAATTTTAAATAACACCAATAAAAAATAATAGTATGTTGTCTACATAATATGTTGAGATCGTTCGGATATCACGTCCGGTATTGGGCGAATATTTCATTTAACTCTTAGCTCGGGATCGGGTTACCGCCTGGTGGAATAAATAAACACTCTACGGTACAACGCACTTCCATAGCCCTTTTAATATGTGCTAAATTACTGATGAACATAATATCTATTGCTGAGTTAAACATAAACCTAACCTATGTATACTTTGATAAATTATAGTTCTAATTTTATTCACATATTCTGATATCATATGTATTTTATTTCCATATTCGGTAGATGATCGTCATATTTATTTAGCCTATATATATATCATATGTATAGAATTGTTTTTGTAACACATTTATAATAGACTTGGGGATGTGCGATAAATTAAAAATAAAATAACAGCCTCTTACTGATCGATGAATTTGCGATTACGATTCTTGACTCATAAAGGATTCTTATCCTAAGCGATAAGAATTTATTATGAAATCCGTGAAAAAAGCAATACTATTCACAGATATGTAATCATATTAATCATATTCCATTGCATTAGTACGCCGATCCTTAATCATTGTCATTCAACGTATTAATTTTTGTAAATATATTATCTACTGCACGTCAAGTATTTGATTTTACGTATTTATTCAACTTTTGTTTTTATGCTTCTAGTTCGTCAAGGAAAAAATCTCATTCCTATGGATCCCAATGGGTCTTCGGACCCTTATGTTAAGTTGAAACTTATACCAGATACGGATAATATTAAGAAGAAAACAAAGACAATCAAATCATCGTTGAATCCTGTGTGGAATGAGACTATTACGTTGTGAGTATGACTTTAATTTTCTTATAACTAAATCTAGTTATTTTAAATTTATAATTGTTCTAAACTATACTAATACTTTACGCTCGTAATGACGATATTTTGGATATATAAACTGAAGGAGAAATAACAATTTTTCTTCATAGTGGAACTACTTTATTTCAAAGTTCCAATAACACCTCCATCTACGTGATATTAAGGAAAAAATACCTGCTTCAATGTTGATTGATGTCACACTGGTCTTTGTATTTGAAGTATAATATGGCCCAGCGAGTTTTACACTTTTTTTGATATCCGTGTGTACGGTTTCATTTTAGATCTATCTTATCCCAAAAAAGCCGTGACAACCTAAAGATTTTTATTTCATTTATTCTAGTAGAATTCTATTAGCTTTTATATTGTTTGTTCAGTGAAATAAATGAAAGTTGCTGAAACAAATATATTTTATATCACAAAGTAAAATACAATAGTAGTCAGGTACCTTTGCGTTAGGTATAGTCTCACGGGATTCTGATCTGCGAATACATGAGTATATTATAATCCTATTAAAATAATAAACAATAAAGGACTATATAGTTGAAGTGTACGAACTTTATAATAAAAATTAATGTTTAGACGGTTGCTAAATATTTTAAAGTTTTTGATTATTTGGTGGTTGATGTTTGAAATATTAATAAGGTAAACAGAGCATATAGAAAAAAATTGGGTGATGTCCTCTTTTGTGCCATTAAAGCCTAGATTTATATTATTTTCATGCTCATATATTATTTATTGTACTTAAATCTATTTTTTTTTTTTTACATATCTATTGGTATATGTGCTCATTTATTTAAACGTCGAACTATTCTATTTATCATTATTATAAATTTGATACTTATATGTATTTAAACAAAACAATTAATATTTTAACAAATCATAATTATAGTGATATTTATTAAATACTAGCTGACCCGACAAACGTTGTTTTGTCATATAAATTATTTCTAGAGAATATTTTGCTAGAAAAAAATAACTAATTAAATATAGGCATGTAAGAATGTGGGTAAGGATAAGGATGTAAGGAAGATATATGGCGTGCTATGAATGGTAACGAAATATAAAAATGAAAAAACATCAAACATTTATTTTTTTAATAATTTATTAAAATTGATCCATTAAAATAATATATATCGCTAATTATGACAATATAAGTAAAAAACAATATCTATCCCTTAATGCAACAGAGTGTACAATATTTTTTGTAATCCCATCTTTCGCAAACACAAACTGGATGGCTCGAGAGCACACCACGTATAATTATCCGTGTGAAAAATATGATGTGCTCAAATCTAAGCTACAGACATTGTTTGGCTTTGAAACTTATTGATAGTCATTGCAAATGCCAATCTAATTGGAAATTTAAAGCGTTTAAATTGTATTGGCACATCTGTGGGTATAATAGAGATTCGCGGTAATAATATATTTTCACCTCGGAATTTGCCATTTAAAATTATGGCTTCGATAACATTTTTCATTAATTTTTTAACAACTTATCGCGTGTCGTTGTACAACCGTGGTAGGTCAAATTATGAAGCAAAATAACCGAAGAACAAACCTTCAATTGTAAATTATGCGGTGGCATGCCTGGTAAGTCCAATGAGTTTAAAAACTCTGTTAGATAATTTACAGCTTCAGTAGCATAGCAAACTATATCTATAGATTTGTATGACACCATGTCTCCTGGTAATAAATGTTTATCTTGAGATTCAATTCGTTGACGTCCACATTTTTTACTACTAAAATTGCCCTTTCTGCCAGCCACTCATGATTTATGTATTGTTTGTGTACATTGGAAAATATCTAGTCAATAAGAGCATCTTGCGAATAAATGATTGTGCAGAAATCGGTCGGTAATTTTATACATTCCGTTTTATCTGTAGTAACTTTCCCATCTCCAATATCTAACAATTGTTTTGAGAATCTTCTGCACGCAGCTTTTTTTTGATTAAATCGCAAGTATCAAAATCGTTCGCTCTCTGTCTTTACATACATTTCGACCATGAATTGTTGACGAAGCTCATGATATCGTAGAATAATTTTGTCTTGATCTCGTTTAATCATCAACCGATATGCATAATAATTTTTCGAACTAACATTCTTATTTGTTTTGACACATGTTGCGGGATCTTTTTTTGTTTAATATTTATGCAATAACCGTCATTTACTACCAAAAATAAAATTAATAGTTTTTTTTTATAGTTTTTTAATAGTTTTTTAATAGTTTTATTTAATAATTCATTTTCAATTGTGCAGTTATCGACCGGGTCAAAAAGGGCTATTTTTAGGGGTTTTCCAGCAATAATTCTAATTTTTCTCGCCGTAAAAACCATCCTTGAACTTCAACGAACATTTGAAAAAAAGATTTGGCCAAATTGGTCCAGGCGTTGTTGAGTTATGCGCTTACCAACACATTTTGCGATTCATTTTTATATTATAGATGTACATTTTTTGGCTTGTTATACATCTTAATTCAATGGATTTTGAAGTTTATGAATTCAGTCATTCAAACATACTCAATCTAAAATTAAACAATATTTCGTTAGACTTACAAAATACTGATCACACAGTAAAATATATTGTTAAAAAAATCAATATGATGTTCATAAAATTGTTAGTTTATGTCATACCTACCACTAAAATGATTGTGTAAGCAAATCATTCATAGTCAAACATATAAACAATTATAGTACATGTATTAAAAATGTAATAGCAATTAAATCCTTAAATGCGTTATTACTCGTATAATTAATTTTCTACTAACTTAGATATTAAAATAAAATAATTGTTTAACATTAATAAAAGTCAAAATTAACTGTATACCTCTATTTGATAATCCAACTATTAACTCTTATCGAAGTACTTTTATTGAGATAAGATATCTATTTTTGTTTTTGCATTTAATTTTCAACTCTTACCTACTTAAAATAACAAATTGTTAAAATTTCATTTTTGACCAAAAGCAAATATTTCGTTATTATATTAAGTTACATCAAATGTGCCTATGTTACCAAAATGCCTATTATTAACCAAAAATAAAATACAGGTATATATATGAGTATTGTATATAAAAAAATTATTTTTAATTTTAATAACAATTTATATTAAAAAACAATAATTCTTAAATATTGTTATCTCATGTGATCGACTATTTCTTAATTAAATTTGGTAGTTATTGTATTATCATCATCAATATAAAAAATAAATATTGTTATCATTAATTATTTGGAGGTTTAAATCTTTATAAATCAGCCCTTAACTTTCAAGCTGTCACAATCATTAAAATTCAATTGAACTAATCTTATAATCGTTATCACTTACCGCATTTTTTTTCTTATTTATTAGATACCACTAATTTCTTAACATAAAAATTTGCTGTAAACGACGAATTAATTTGTTATAAACGACATTATGGCGTATACGTCATTATTAAAAAAAAAATAATTGGGCGTATATCACAAAATTATTACATCACTTACTTAGTTAATAAGAATGTCACCTAAATCAAATGTTGACCTTTACAAAACATTTTTTTTATACCTGTCGTTTACAGCATAAAAATTGATCATCGATTACACATTATAAAATTATGATTCACTATAGTGAAAACTATCTATGGATCCAGTGAAGCGTCGTTTATAACACTAGATAGCATGTGTCGCTTACAGCAAATAGCCTTTTAATCGACGATATACTTAGTATGTATAAACGCGCTGAAAAAGGAAGTTTTGAAAATTAAATTTTAATGTCTAACATTTTTTGGGAATGGACTGGTTAAATAAGCGTTTTCAGTTTTTGGTTACCTAGGAATTATTTTATTTTATTTTATACGTTGATAATAAATAATTAACAATTAAGTAAGTTATTTGTAAATTAATATAGTATAAATAAATAAAATTAAATATCATTAGAATATACGAGGATTGTACGCTTTTTTCAACCTACATTTTTTGTTTTTTTTTTTTTTTTACTCAAATAGTAATTGTTCCTATTTAAAATAGTAAAATATCTTCGGAATGAGACCAGATAATTTAGCTAGTGTAGGTATATAAATGGTTTTCTTAAAAGAAATAAAGATGATATTTTTGATATTTGATCACAACTATAGCTTGTAAGTAAACAAGATATTTCTTTGGAATCTTTTTTTTTTTTTTATCTATCAATTCCCATTTCTCATCCTATATTTAGTATCACAGTGCTACAATTCACAATATTTTAAATTTAATAATCACTTATTGCTATAACTATTTATGATTGTTTGTTTTATAAATACTTAAATTATAAAATAATAATAATAATTATATATTTATTTCAACGCTATAGGAGTTTATCTTCTATGTTATTCTATTATTATTCTGATGATAGCCTTATTTTAATATAATATCTATGTGTACATTTTACGTTAAATTTACATTCTTTGTATATAAGAAACAAAAAAAAATAACAGACATTTATTTTTATTCATAATAAACGTAAGACATGTTTCTCCAAGTATTAGTTATAAAATACTTCTTATGCTTATATGTAATGTTTGGTAAATTTAGTAAAACTAAAAATTAATTTTTAATATTTTTAAAAAGTCTTTAATAAGATTATAATAATATAAAATATTTTAACAAATATTGAATGTTTTCATTATATTTTTTTTTATTATTATTTTTTTTATATATATACCTACTCCCTTAAGCATATAAAAATTTAACAATTTTCCTGAAACTTATATAAGTTGTGAATATTTTATCTGTTTCTTAAACGAAAAAATAAAAAGGAATTTGAAAAATAAAAATTTAATAGTTTGTTTTTTTATATTCATTCCTATTATTTTTTTCATATTGTGAGCACAATAAAAATTTATCTAGTTTTACATACATTATTATTTGTTATACTATTATTTACTAGAAAATTACAATTTAAGCACATATAACGAATTTATTTTACTTTTTATTTTGTTCATTCAATCTATAAAATTTAGTATTTAATAAGCAGCATAATATGTCGTAGCAAGGGTTAGACATAGGTGGAGTCCCACAAATCACTCTTCGACTTTGATGATTTAAGTTAGAGTATAAGGTTGGTCCACAACGATTTAAAGCTAAATAAGTTATATTTTTTTTAAATTTTTGAATTATCTTCACAAAATAGTGTAGAATCTAATAAAAACTATATATATATATAAAAAAAAAACATTTAAAAATAATGTTTAACTATTTATTTACTCTATTTTTTAGTTAAATTAAAAATATTTCTGATTTTTTTATGAATATGTTACAGGATACAGTATATATTAAAATGATAAATAATACTATTATATATTATTCTATAGACGGGTAATGTACACATGACTCGGACAATTTAAATCTCGAATAGAAATAAATAATTGATTTACTTATAATAATAATAATAATAATAATAATAATAAAATATTTTATCCATAATTTATTATATTTTTATTATAATATAGAATAAAATATAAAATATGAAGTAATTAATAATAAAATTATAATAAATTATAAGAATAATATTTTACACAATTACCTTTTACAGTTATTGACAAACTTAATTTTTTATCTCCTTGTACTGTCATCACGTCATAATATCACAAAAACTCTACTGGTTAATTGTAAATATAAATTATTGTTCATATATTGCCTGATTTTATCGACATAGCTATTACTTTTAACAATCTGATATGGCTATGTGGGAAAAAAATTGTTATAAGATAGAAGAATATAAATAGTAAGAAAAAAATATTATACTGATATTTAATACTTTATTCTGTATCATAATAAAATTATAATACATTATTTATAAAATATTGTACAGTTGTTAATATAACTATAACAATTATTTATTTCTATTCGCGGTTTAAATTTCCCTGGCAAGACCAAATTGTATTCCTTATTTCCCATAGTAGGTATATATAATCTTTGGTCATTTGAACAAAATTAACATTAAATCAATAATGTAAAATTGGATTACACTGAGCTCAACTATTTTAAGTTGTTTTGCAGTCATTATTGGTTTCGAATTTTACCACACTTGTCTTTACTGTTATTTCTTATGTTAGTTTTGTGTGTATTTTCATAATTTCTTATGAAATGTCAATATGAATTTTGAAGTTTGGTCTAAACATTTGATGTAAACAATATAACTTAGACTAACCTTCATTAAATGTTTTACCACATTACTATAGTAAAATTTGAATACTTGGTGATATTATTTAGTATCAATAATAATTATTATCACTAATTATAATCAAATATTTTGTTTAACTGGACATATATTTATATTAGATACTATATATTGTTAACTAAACTGTACGTTAGTAATTAAAAAATGTTTATAGAATTTACTGTTTTTAATTTTTATTATATTAATTATTTAAGGTTAAATTAATACTAAAATATATTTTATAATATATATTTTTCTTTAAAATTATAAAACTATGTACTTATATCAACTTTTTACAGATATAGAAATAATGCTGTTCTAGATTTTTTTGGTAGAATATTAAAGAATATATTAAATTTAACATCCTGTTAAAATCCAAAATACACTTATCATTTTTAAGAATTTATGTTACACTACAATACATTTTTCAATAGAAACATTCATATTTTATGGTTTGAAAAAAAAGGTAATTTTTATTAAATGTAATAAAACGTACAAAGTAATGCAATATATCCTTCGTTGTAAGTTCTAAAACTCCATAAACATAATTTTGTAAATGTTTAATATAATTAAAGCTTGTATTACAAATGTAGGTGCGCTCCAAATTTATTTTTCTTTTAAACTTAAATGCATTATTTCAGAGAACCTATTAATATTAAAAACACATCGTTACAGTCTTTAATCAGTCATCAACAAATTTATTAAATTGTACGTGCGTTCAGTGATACCCATCAATATTATATTTATGTATATTTCCCGAAAAAATATAAACCGTTAAAATCAATTCCTTTTTTTTGTAACGAGATCTTAAATTTCTATTAAATTAAACATCTAATTTTAAAAGATTATTTTTCATTTATGAAAGTACAAAAAACATTTGTTCATATTATATATATAAATATTTCAAGACAAGGCTTATTGATCAGTTCCATCGATTTTAGACTACACTATTTATTGTTGCTAAATGTTGTTCAATTTATAACAAAATAGGAATAATTTATTTTAAATAACCAACTGGTTATACTTAAACATCAATATTTATTAATAATTTAGGGTTATGGTTTTACTCGAACCTTCAAATATTAATCCGTACTGCACGCCTCCATTTTTTAAAGTAAATTCATAATGTGATAACACTTTTCTGCCAAACGCTTTTCTCTTGCCAAGTGATCAATTATGATATTCAACCAAGTTTTCCTTAATAATCTATCTCCCAGAAAAAAAAAACATGGATAAAACATCGTTTGACTTTTTATCATTTTATTTAATTTACTCTTAATTGTGTTATATCAGTTATAAAGAACCTCTGTTCTACTGACTAATTTTAAAATAATTATTTACTGATTCGACAGTCAATCGTTTAGTTTTATTTTATACCGGAAAATTTAAAAGTAGTTAAACCCTACTGCTATTCACAACATTTTAATTAAGTTACTGTAATATTTGTTTTATTACCTATGTTGAATATTTAATCCTATGGAAGATCTCAATAATTGTAACACATAACAAACAAATTATCAAAACGAATTCTTCGAAAAACTACTCCTATAGTCTTTCATATCGATCATACATAATATTAACACTAAATTAGATGTACAGAAACTCAAATATCTCCACAATTATGTTGCAACTCATTTTATATTTAACATGTGTTGCACTTTTTATCCAAATCATTGTTACAAATATCTCACATGTATCACATCATATCAATTATTTTTTCATACAAAATCTAAGGTACCATTTTTCTATAGTTTAAAATATCTAATCCAATTAACATTTAATTGAGCTTCTGTCAACTATGTTTCTATTGTTAAAGAACATTATTTACCACAACGTATTAAAATGTTGTGCTATATTAATTTGTTACAGTATATTTAATGATACCCTCAAAAGCTCTCAGTTTGTTCATATATACTCAAAACAAATTATATTTATTTTTTCTTACTTTAACTTAACGTAATTTATTTACTTTAACGTAATTAAAAAATATTGTTATGGCAATTGTATTAGGAATACATCGTGAGCTATCTAATTTATAGTTTATTAAATGAGGGATGAACTCAAACATTTTTTGAACAATTATAATATAACATTTTTGTTTTTGAAAATAGTAACAAAATTTATTATAATTCTAAAATGTATTCCGGCTTAAAAATTATCTGTGAAAATATTCTCGGTACATGATTTTTACTTAATTATTATTGTGTTATTTGTATACGAAGAGTTTAGTAAAAACTTCAAAACATAAAAAATAACTATAATTTTATTGTGGTATTGTAAAATTACAATATATATATATATATAATGTTAAATCAAATTATTTGTTAAAACAATTGACAAAATATTTCGTAATAATTTTAATTTCTGTTTTTTTTTATAAATTATCTCTTGAAATTGTATTGATTTGCACTATGCTGTTTATTTACTCAGAGTTTCAGAATTCTCAATAATAATAAAAGGGAAAATAATTTTTTTTAGTATTTAATTTAATGTTTATTTTTAATTTAATCAATTATTTTTTACAAGAGAAATATATTTTAACTATAATATTTATAACTAAATTTGCTTTATAACTGAATATTACATTTTTGCTGTTCTAAAATCACTTGTTTTATATTTTTAAATACAAATAAAATTTTTTAAATTTGTTTTTTCTAAGGTCTTCTTACATTATATTTCCAAACAATTTCCTATTTTATTATTTTCTAGATAAAATAAAGTTATCAACAACGATTTTCTCATTAAATCATTGGTAATAAAAATAAGTTTGTTTGATAATAGTAAGCGAATTTTTTTGATTTTCGTTAATTTTGACAAATATTTTATTTGTAATTTTTTTTTTTTTTGTAATAATGATTCTATTCAGTTATACCTTCTTAATATTGGCAACATTTCTAGGAATAATTTTTTAAACATTCACTTTTTTATTTAATTGATTTAATTGATTGTTTTTTTTTTTTAAATAGAGAAATCAGTAGTTTTAAGAAAGACAATATATTGAGGTAGAATTACTTGAATTATTTGAATAAGTTCAAAAAGATTGCTAAAAAAAATCGATTTATAATTTTTCCCTATTTCGACTCTACATCATGGTTGACATGGCGAAACTTTAGAACTTGAAATTCAATCTCAATTACTTAATTTGCATTGTGTGACGAAAACGTCACCCAGATGATAAAACTATGGTATTGATTTGTGCAGTGAGCTGAAGCCTGAAGATAAAGATCGCAGACTATTGATTGAGGTATGGGATTGGGATAGGACATCTAGAAATGATTTTATGGGATCTTTGTCATTTGGAATATCGGAATTGATCAAGTCACCAGTTGAAGGATGGTTTAAGCTATTGACTCAAGAAGAAGGTGAATTTTATAATGTGCCTGTGCCCGAAGAAGGTGCCGATTTGGCTGCATTGAAAAATCAAATGCGGGTAAGCATCACAAGTAATATTTTTATGCTCTGTTATAATATAATTTAACCTTCTTTATTTCATTATATCTGCGCGTGTAACGCGTCTTCGTTTGTGTCTGTATTTGTATGTTTGTAATTTAATATTGAGAACATTTTTGGGAATTTTTATAAGTATATTTATATAAAACTGTTTGTTCAAATTCAATTGAACTTATAGTACAATATCAAAAATAATTTGAAATAAAAAATGTTCTAATTCAAACAGCATGGTGAAATGGTTTTACTTTTATTTTCTTCTCTTATCTTCCTACTTTTGCAAAATAAAAATTTCAATTTTAATCACTTTAATTTTCGTGTGTTTGTCAATTAACAAATTGTATTCACGTTTATGTAAGCATTGCACATTAATTAATTTTAACATTTCTATCTCTTAACGCAGGGCTCAAAAACTCAAAGTCGAAATTCGGTTCGTTTCAACTTCAGTAAAATATTATGTAGTTTTATTTGTATTTATTTAGCATGTGCATATTTTAGTGTATTTAATATTTTTACAATGTAATTTCATTCGAGTTAGTGAGCTACACTTAATTTTTATCAAACTTCATCCGTATACGTATGGTACATTATTATATTAGTAAAACATTCTTATACTTCTCTGTATTTTTAGTGTCCTACACAAAAAAAAAAAAAAAATTAAATATATTAATATCTTGATTCAAAATAACAAATAATGTCACAATGAATTCGATTTTACCGCTTATTATCTTAAAATAATTAATTCACAGTTATATTTAAATGTCATACATAAATTGAATGGTTCTTTACATTTGACGTATTATATTAAAAAAAATAGTTTAATCTTAAAATGTATGAATTTAGCACGTTTAGTGTTATTATTGTGGTGTATAATTGCTGACTCTAGATTATAATCCAAAATAGTTAATTGTTGAATTCAATAGTTAGAACGTAAACAAAGTCTTAAATAGGAGGTGAAGGATATTACCATAGAGTAATTTCATAATCTCTGGTAGCATTGTGTATTGGATATTTACTTAACGTTTTGGTTATTGAATTTACATACTCATGAGTAGAGTTATAATATTGATAACCCAAAAAATCACACAAATAATGTTCTGAAAAATGCAAAAATACCCTAAAAACTTTAAAAAATGAATTTAAAATTTATCTAAAAAATCTAATTAAATAAGTGAAAAAATATATTATTAATAATAATTTTTATTAGAGATTTGTGTGTGATAATAGGTGTTAAAGTAATTTAAAATATGAATTTTAATATCGGTACAAAATTTAATCACAACAAAAATCCTACAATAATAATATTAAAATGATTTTTATATGAATATTACACAAATTTTCTTTTAAATCTAAAATCTGAGAAAAAACCCACATTATACAAGCACTACAAAAATGGCCTAAAATATAAAAAAAATTACGTAAAAATATTGAAAAATTACGTTAAAAAACAAAAAAAAAATGTTTTTATAGCTAAAAATGTCAAATATGCAAAAAAAAAAAAAAATGAAAAATAAAATTAGAATATTCTGCAACAAGAGAGCGTGACACAAATTTTTAGCTATGATAGCATTGTATAGAATCAAAGGAAAAAAATGCAAAAGTCATTAACATCCTATATCTACTCATAATTATAATATGATCGTTGTTTCGACCACCTCTTTCACTTATTATTATTAGCTTTATAATTCCCTACTAATTATAATTTGTAATGAAATAATATTTTTTGTTATAATTGTAATACATCTTTATATATTTCTATATCAATATACGTAACCATATACCTTAGAAGATAAGTAATCCATAACTCTGAAGATTTTATGTTATATATCTCTCAAAACCCATACTTCGATGTATAAGAGAAATCTTGGAGGAATTACTTTTTATAATATAGTTCTAAACAAAACTGCCATTTCTAAGCCTGCCTTAATGACTATAGTTCAGTACAGTTACTTATAGTTATTATATTATTGCATTTATTTAAATGATTATATGCATTAGGAACAGCCGTTTCTCCTTTTCTCTTATGCCACTCTTAATCTTTATCAGTTTATAATTGCTTCAAACATTTAAGTTACTTCAGGATTTATGGATCTTGCTTATTTTCTGATTTTGATGTTATTTTATTATTGGTGCTTCTATTGTATGGTATCTTAAATGTTAGATGGTTTATTTTAAGTCAAAGTAGGATTACAAGGCTTATGTAAGATTAACAAGGTGACAGGTTTGTTAAATTGTAATAAATAATAATATTATAAATTATTTTACCATAATTCTTATTAATTTAATCAAAACATAATTTGGATTATTAAAAAATAAACAGAACTACAATATTAATCGAATGTTTTAGACATATTCTTTTTTTTCATACATTTTGTTTCATAGTCAATTAAGTTCTACTTTCGCACAACGATAACTAAAATAAAAATTATATTTATAATAAACATATCAACATAGATATAAAACTTTTCTCATTTTCAAATAAGTATTATAATATACTAAGCAATGTAATATAAGTTTACAAAATAACATTATACAAATAGGCTATGGGGACTATATATAACTAATAAATTAATATTAGGTACATAAAATATATTTATTTTTATACTTTTCAATATTACATTAAAATACCAACTTTTTAACCTTTTATTTACATGGCCTACAAAATAACTAATATAATATAGTACTAAAAAAGTATTTTAAAAACTGTTGATACTGTTACATTAATATTTCATTTGCTATGGAATTACATATGTATAGAAATGAAATTATTACACTTTGAACATTTAATTATCACTTTTAGTACAACGCCGAACTTGCATAACACTTTTAAATTTAAATTATGTTCCATATACAGTACTATTATACATATGTAAATAACCTTACATAATTTATAATTAAAATATGAAAATGTAGGAGGATGGACATTTTACCCTGTACAATTATGCTATTCAAATATTTGTATTATTTATTTTATTATTATTTATCAGTCGAAATAAATAAAAGTAGGCCACTAACATATGTTAAATTGGTTTTTGGTTATAGTTTTAAAATCTTCATTGAAATGAAAAAAGTACACTTCGAAGCAAACTCTATTATAAATTATTCATCAACTCACTTAACCGTCAATCAAAACCACTTGTGTTTTTTTTTCATTTAATTTTAAATGTAGTTTTTAACTCTTCAAACATTTTTAATCTAAACTTATTTTAAAAGTTAATAATCTACTTAATATTTAGTTATTAAAAAAAATATTAAACCATTTTACGTACATTAAAATCAATAAAAAAAAGTCAAGAATTTTTGGTTTAATTTATTAATTATTTTCTTGGATATTTAGTGTAATTATTTTCATTACACTGTTTATTTCATATGTTATCAATTTTTTTCTTTTCAATTTGTATGTTCCAGTAGGTTTTGTTTTTTTTTTCATTGCAACTTATTTAATCTTGTATAAACTCTCGTATATTCAATCTTGACTAATATGTATAAATACTTATAGTTTTTTGAATCATCACAAAAGATTTTAAAATTTTATTGTTTTATTTTAAGATTTTAATACTTGTGATTTACTCACTAATTAATGAAATGTTTGTAGTTCTTATAAGCCCCGTTTATTATTTACGTTTTTGATATCTGACCGTATTATGTACAAATACATATTCAAGTAAAATATACACTAAATTTTAGCTATGCTATTTTACTTTTTCAACAAAATAAAAAATATACTATGAGCAATATCAATAATTAAATTATAAAAAAGATATAATTTATTATTATTTGTTTTATATGTGATTCTATAACAAAATCTCACTATTTATAATTCTGTTAATCAAGAATTTTCATTGCTTAGATTTCTGTTAAAATTATATTTTCTAAATCTTATTTTTCTAAACAATACAAAGTATTTTTTATAATATTCTAAATTTCTAAAATATTTTCTCATTTTAATTGTGTGCTTTGAATTAAAATTAGTGTTAAAAATATAAATTCAGTTTTAAATTACTGTAATTTGAGGATATTTTTATTTTACTGTTTCATAACTAAATTAAGTTTGGAATGCTTTCTAATCTTTTATAATGAACTTAATGAACTTATGTTTCGTTACTTGACGTGTATAAATCTTGAAAGTAACAAAACCCTTTCCATGAAAAGCTTATACGATTATTTAATGTATATATATATAATGAAATGCATTCATTTATATAACTCTTTATAATAATATTTTTATAAAAATGTGTCTAAAAATTCTAAAAAAAAAATGTTTGTACTCGATATTCTTTACGTATTTTCCATACATAACACAAATATTTCAATTTTTAAATTACTATGTAAGTATAATTTGAATTTATAAATAGAAGAGAAAATTATTTTAATTTCAAATAAATCCCGGGTTTATTTTTTTTTCGAACGATTTTTCGATGTCAACCATGTATACTGCTTTTTATGTAGTTTTCAACATTGTATGCATGCTGAAATGTTAACTGCAGTGAAAACATATCGTGCAAAATTATCTAAAACAAATCGATGTATAATTTATTTACGATACAATATTTTATATACAAATTCAATTTTGTGATAATTTAAAATATTGCTGTTAAATTAGTTTATTGTATTTATTAAGTTATATATTTATGAAAATATTCACAGTATATTCGTGGAGTGTCAATGCACAATTTGTTAGTTCATTAATTTTTAAAAAAATTTGCTAGAAAATGAACTAATTGCATTTAAAAGTTCTTACGGTTACAATTTTTTATAATATACAACTAGATCTGTATTTATCTGAATCTGTATAATTTTTAGTCAATAAATATATACATTAATGACAAATTTTGAATAAATATTGTTCATTACTTAAAGATTCAAATGCATTTATTATTATAGAGTGTTAAAATAGTTAATTTCAACCGATATTAAGTTAATTTTAATGAAGCATGACTTTAGCTTAAGTATTTAAAAAACTATAATAACTTAGTTGCATGTGCTTGTTTTATTCTATTAGTTAGTGTTTTAGAAGTTTATTAATATGATACATAAAATTGTTTGGAAGTATTAACTGACATAATTGATTAATATTAAAAATTCAGAAAACTTCAATAACTAGACGACCAATGGTACCTGACAAAGATGTACCTCACAATATGGGGAAAAAAGATGTTATTCGTGCGTCTGATTTCAACTTTTTACAAGTACTCGGCAAAGGAAGTTTCGGAAAAGTAAGAACTCATTTTATTGTTATTTATATTGATTATTTATGTATTTATAAACTTGTAAGGTAATGTTGGCTGAACGTAAAGGTACTGACGAGTTGTACGCTATCAAAATTTTGAAAAAAGATATAATTATTCAAGATGATGATGTCGAATGTACGATGGTGGAAAAACGAGTACTAGCCTTATCTAGTAAACCACCGTTTTTAGTTCAACTTCATTCTTGTTTCCAAACTATGGTAAGTGCATATTTGGTTTATATATATTTTTGAAAATATTAAAATAAATACTCTTAATAATAATGTTTATATACTACAATTTTATAATATTCAAGTTATTGTACAGTAATATATTTATAATAGTTTTCTGATTCTTCCGCTTAAGATATAATTAATATAACGGTTTTAAATAGGTAGTAAATAGTCCAAGAAGTAAAAATAATGTTTAACCTAATATTATCTTCTTTAAATTTTCAATTTTCATAAAAAAAATACAAATTGTAAACGAAAATAAAAAAATTGTAAACGAATTTCATTGATATAAAAACATAAACGAGTAATATCATTATTTTGTTTAGTTGATTTGTTTGAAAATTACTGACGAAAAATTAAAAACTGATAGTAATTAAAATTTCCGGTGTATAAGACATTATAACAATATAATATCATCTTAATTTTTCTTCTGTCTGAGATTTAAAGTTATTATTTTGATGATATATCTTATGCGTATATTTAATAAATAAAATATGATGATGAAGTATGTATATCAATTTTTAAAGAATTATTTTCTCTTAAAAGAGATATCAATTACTCCAATATCATTTCATATTTTGTTTAGTATTTATAATCCACGATATTCAGAAAATCATTGAAATTATAATAAATAGAATCTAAATAAACAAAAATAGTATATCATATTATTTGTATTAGAATTAAACAAAATGTATTGTATTACAAACATTTTAATAAATCACTTTCGTCTTCTATACTGGCGTAAAAGTCTTATTTTAGATTCAGAACGACGGAGGAATGTATTGATTTTACCAATATGTGATTCTTTAACTGTCAAAAAATTGTATAAATGGTAGAAAATGTAATTTTGACGAATTTTATTGAATTATCCAAATACGAAAATAAATTAAACAGTATTAGTAATATTTTTGTCTTAAAAAATTAAAAATTAAACTAGATATATACTTATTTATATTTACATTATATACATACTATAATAATATTTTTGACTGTTATAAAATTAAACAAAAATCTAAAGTTATACTATATATTTATTTTGTTGTAAAAGTTGGTTTAACCAACCGGATTTCGAAACTATAAGGTTAACCTATATAATATTATATACATATTGTTTTTCGAAATCAATAATACATTGATTTCGAATGTATTAGAACAATTCACAAATCAGTCACCCGACCCTGTATCTCATTCGATATCTCCTTCCCATTTATATTTATTTCGAAAAAAAATATAAAAATGTCAACACTAAACTTATACATCTACATTTAAATTAAATAAAACTACACTTGCACTATGAATAATTTGAATACCAAGAATTTAAGAGGATTCATTTTATTTTTCCTGAGATCAACATATCTCTATGTATGTTTTGAAACTATACTAAAAAATACACTTTTTCCTTTAAGGAATCTGGGAGCTACTTATCATTGTAATGTTAGGTATTTTTCTCTTTTCACGTAACAATATAATATGTATATGGAATCATGTAAGTTCTCGTGGAAAAATATTACAGAAATACAAATTTTTAGTTTTTTTTTTTTTGTAATATTTAGTATTCTCAGTTAAATGATTCAGTTTTTTAATCTACCTATTAATTAATATTTTGTCTTTAACTACACTTAGATAGTATATTATTAATTCACGTTTTTTTTTCAAATTTTTCTTAATGATGTAGTATGAGAATATAATGTATTGTTTTTCTGGAAAAACTGATAGAAAACTATTCCTAACTATCTTAAATTTAATTAACATTAAATTCTCAATTAATTTTTTTTAGAACAAAAAACCTAGTCTTAAATTAATACCTTTCAATATTTTTTTTATATTACTTTTTTTTAAATTTCTAGATTTATAAAATTCCAAAACTCGAAAATTTATATTTATTTTTATTATTTTCTTAGTTTAATTTAATTTTATTAAGATCTCTTTATTTTTATACAGTTAAATGTTTCTTTTTTTTGTAGAGGTTTTATTTAGTATTACTTAATATTTTAAGGTTCAATATTAATTTTACTGAATGTTTACTGAATGAAATTCAGTAGGTATTAAATATATACATGCTTAAAAAATTAATATCTACAATAATAAAACGTGGTTAGTGTACGTTAAATACAGTTTTATTATTTTTTAATTATAATAAATAACAAACTATGAATAAAGTAACATTAAAGTTCAATTTAATATTTCATTATTGTTATTTTTTAATTTTTTTTTTTTTTTTTTTTTTTAATATAGAGTTATAATATATATAATATATAATAGCCTATTATTAATAGGGTAATCCTTAGTTATAGCTGATGAAAAAAATTAATATTTTTGATATCTCACCCTTTCGTTTTATTCATTATTATAAAAAAGAAATTTTAGTTAAATTTGGTCATGGTTACTAATCCCTTTCACGTGCCACCTGGGGGTTGAAAAATTACAAAATATGATTGGTTTACCGTTTTTTGAATGTAATCAATAAACTATTGAACTTCCGTAAAAATATACATAACTTAAATTATAGATATTTATATTTTTAATGAAAAACATATATATATATATATATATATATATACAATTTTTCATACATCTATTATTTTAAATGAAAAATTATAAAATATCGAATATTTCATTTATTTTAAAAATTGGCTTTTTTCCGGTTTTTAAGTATATTGAAATAACGGTTGATGATACGAAAAAATATCTCTCGTAAGAATAATAGGAAATAAAATTTTCTAAAAAAAAGTTGTTAAATATAAATTGCATTAGATTAAATTGTTTTAAGCAAGACGGGTAAACATAAGGTTATTAAATATATTTAAAGTTAATACGAGAATGTAATACTCAACAGTTTCAATAATAATATAATATAGATAGTCTTAGCTATAGGGGAAAGTTAAATATTCTTAATTCATCACTTCTCTATTTTTTTTTATTATTATAAAAAAAGTATGTGAGTTAAATTTAATGAAGATTAATTCAACTCCTTTACATGCTACAAGAGGGTTGTGTATTGTTAAACAGAGATGTTTTAATTTTTTTTTGATTTAATTCAAAATATATTGCATTAAGCATAAAATTGTATAGAATGATTTTCGTACCATTAGTTCAAATATAGCCCATTCCAAGTATTGTAAAGTTTACGCGGTTAAGCAATACATGGCAGCCGTCTTGGTTTGTTTTTTCTATCACCAACACGTTCTCCCCTCGATATACCATACTGGAGACTCGTGTACAATCGGTTTCCAAAAATATATTCCGGTTATATTTTGTGGGTTTTTTGAGTATAAATGATAAAATATTTCTCATCAATGAATATATTTTCCGTAGAAAGTTTAATGAGATTGAGATGTGTCTTCGTGTTAGATTTTATTGATGAGGGGAAGGGTTAGACTAAACTCGGACAGGTCTCGACTAAATCCGGACAAGTCTTGACGGGCATGAAATGTCATGTTTTTGTTTATAGTAATGAAAATAAATAATTTTTAATGGTTTTTTAAGACATCGAGAAAAAATCTTGGTTGAATTTAATGATTTTTTTTTAAAATCTTCAGAGTGTTATTACCTTATACTTTATACAACCAATGAAAATCTTTGATGGAGTTTTTCCTTTTTATGGGGTTCTATACATTTTATATTGTATTTGACTTTCCACTTCTATCGAATTTTCCGTCAAAATAGAGTAATGTTATAGAAGTACATAGAATGTCATATCAAAGATATAAAATTTCGCTGAAATATTATCCAATCAAATTGATGGACAGAAATTATTTTTTTTAGGATCGTTTATATTTTGTGATGGAGTATATAAATGGCGGAGATTTAATGTTTCAAATTCAACAATGTGGGAAATTTAAGGAACCAGTTGCCGTGTACGTTGATTTTTTTCTTGAATTATGTTAAGTGACTCAATAAAATTTTTTTTTCCAGATTTTATTCTGCAGAAATAGCAATTGGACTTTTTTATTTGCATCTCAGTGGTATAATTTACAGAGACTTGAAATTGGATAACGTGCTATTGGATCAAGACGGTCACATAAAAATCGCTGATTTCGGTATGTGCAAAGAAGGTATAATGGGTGATAAGACTACAAAAACATTCTGTGGGACACCGGATTATATTGCTCCAGAGGTAAAAAATTTATTTAGTTGATCGACAATATGTGATTGCTTTATTATTTTAATATTAGATTTTCTTATTTCGATCGCTTGCTTCTTTGATTTTTTTTTTTTTTTATGCACCGCAAAAATAGAGTACCTACCTATATTTCTTTATTAAACTTACGTGTAACGTATTGAAAGTCGTTCTGCTATTTTTAAAATACAAAATCGTTATTTACTTTAAAGTCCTTTAAATATAATTAAATATATTAATGACTTAATAATATTAGTTTATGATATTAATTTTCAGTAAGTAAATAAACTTTTGTATATTTTTTCATTTTAATGTTTTTTATTCAATAACTAGTATTGTTGATGGATAAACTACTGAAGAACGTAAATAGAGTTGTATGTTAAGATATGATGCCAATAATATTAAATTGTCAGTTTTGTAATGACATTAGTGAATCCTTTGATTTTGTAAAAAAATGAATATTGGACTATAGATAATATAATAAAACGGAATACAAGCTTATAAATGAGAACTCTTAGGTGAATGTTTGAAGGGACTAATGTGAATTGGAGGAAAAGTATGTAATACATATGTATTTTAAGTAGTTTAAAAAATTATAGAGGAGATATTAGGGATGTGGGTGGCCGATCTAATATAGATGGGAGAGAATATGAGAGTAACGAAAAATAAATATAATTTGAAATAAATTACAAAAAATACTTATATTTTTAAACTAAGAAATCTTTAAAAAATGTCAGCTATTATTATCTGAACAAACTTTAGTTATTAAAAATTGTTGAAATTATGTGTCAAAATCTAAATGAAAATTGAATAAAATATCAGTATTAAAAACTTACTCGTAATATGCATAAAATACTTACAATATTAAAACAATTTTTTTATATTTCGTTAATTATTGTGTTGTTTGTAACTAGATAGTATTGGAAATTTAACTATTTCTTATTCTTTAAAAATTAAAAACATACATTTAATAATTAGTTATTGATAAAACTATGTAAGAAATTCTTATAGTTAAATATGAATCTATGTAAATATTAAGAATAATTTAATAATCATAGAAATTGTGTTACATATAACATACTTCAGCTAAGTAACTAACTATTTAGTTTTTATTATATTTGCACAGAAACCTATTTAAATTATTACATACATAATATTTATTACACAAATAGATTTTATTTTTTATTAATAATACCAATCATCAATCTATAATCATACACCTAACTTGATTTGTTTTTATTATCTTTCATAATCTTTTATATAACAGAAATAATAGACAGTTAAAGTTAATAACTAATTATCTACCTATATTATAATATTTTTATAATAATTATATACATGTTTTATACATATAACATATACTTCAAAAAGAACATTGTTTTCGAACCTATTAAGTTTTTATTGCAGAGAAATGGTTTTTAGAATTTAGTATAATTTTTATTTTATTTAAATTTATTTTTTATTTGAGAAAACTAACAGCATTATTAGTACAGAGAAACAAGCAACAATCTTAGTTACATTTCAGATCATTTTATATCAACCTTACGGCAAGTCCGTTGATTGGTGGGCTTATGGCGTTCTTTTGTATGAAATGTTAGTCGGACAGCCACCGTTTGACGGAGAAGACGAGGAAGAACTTTTTGCGGCCATTACCGATCACAGCGTTAGTTATCCTAAAGGAATGTCTAAAGAAGCTAAAGAAATATGCAAAGGGGTAAAATAACTGCAATTTGAATATGACTAAATACAAAATACATATATAATATTTTTATTTTTAAAACTGCAGTTTTTGACTAAAAACCCGATGAAAAGATTGGGAGGAGGTCCCAGGGGTGAAGAAGATATTCGAGGTCATGTTTTTTTCAGGCGCATTGACTGGGCGAAAATTGAAAATCGTGAAGTACAACCACCGTTTAAACCAAAAATCGTGAGTAATGTTTTCATTGCAATGTTAGGAATCCGTAAATACGATAATATATTTGTGTTGTAGAAACATCGTAAGGACGTCAGCAATTTCGATAAGCAGTTCACTGGTGAAAAAACTGACCTGACTCCTACTGATAAACTGTTCATGATGAATCTAGACCAAACAGAATTTATGGGCTTCTCATTTCTTAATCCAGAGTTTATTCAACATGTATAATTTATTTATCTTAACTATTCTTTTTCAATTTCATTACAGGGTTTTCCTTTACTCTCCTTCGCTATTATCCTATCCCGTCTTTGTCTACCGATTCCGAATTCACTAGTCAATTGGACATTTCACTATACCCATCGAATTTCTTCAGTTTTTTTAACTGATACACTTTTTAACCATTATCCCCTGATTACATTGTCAAACAAAAAACAAGCACTTTTTTTCTGTTTACTGCCCAGTATTATACTATTTTTTATAACCTTTTCAAACGACCCTTTTAAACTAATTCCTAATTTACATTTTTATTCTTGGGTTAGTTCATAAGTGTAGTATTTGACATTTTTCAGGAATGTTGTCTAAATGTCTAATATTTCTCATCATACCAAACAGTATTCTTACTTAAGTTTAGAGTTTTAATATATATTTCGTATATATATGTATAGTGTTGATGGACAGCGAATAGTCGACTAACGTTAATTTATTAAACTTTAAGAACGTTCCGTTAGCGACGATTTTATCAAGGTCGTATGGAGTAAGAACATTAATCCACAAGTAGGATACTATTGGGACCATATTGCGTATTGATATGTGCTTTGTGGCTATAATTGTTTTCCATAGCTTTTGAACCAAAGTGAAGTAGTAAATAAAAATATAAAACATTCTATAAGCATGAATACAAGTTCTATCTGTGATCTAACGAAGTGCAATACACTCATAATATCTTTTATGTTTAAATTATATGTCTTTTGTTTATATAATATCCGACGTTCGAGTATCCTAAACAAACATAGTTACCTCATTCCCGTTTATTCCCTTGGCGATATAAATATGAACAAAAGTGTTTTCTATATAGAAACGATAGGTTGTGTCTAAATATTTTTATTCTTGTTCAAAATTAATTTTAGTGAATTCCTTTATTCATATATAATTATCGTTGCTTACAATTAATACGTTATTATTTATATAATTATTTCGATAAGTTATAATAAGTATGAATTAATCAAACTTCGATCTAAAATTTTGAAAATTCACTTATAAAACGTTATAATGTTTATTATTCGTAATAACATTTATTTAGATCGTTTGAGATAAAATTATTCAAATAATTATAATATATAATTTATAAACACCATGATAATAATAAGTAAAGTACTTAAACTTTTTCTTCTTTTGAAAATGCAATATAAGTATAAAACAAACGATCTATATTACATGATTGTGTTTTCTTATTTTTAAATATGTTATAATTAGGTGATTTTGGATTAACTAAACGTTAAGTGATATTTTATGAAATTATATTATAATAAATAAAATTGGTAGGATATTTTTTATTTACTTCTAGCTAATCTTTAACTTGCTCACAACTTTGTATGTAATTTAAATTATTGGTAGAGTCTGGAATAATTTGCGAAAAAAGGATTCAACGATCAAAATTATGTTTATTAACATGCGGTTAGTACCTATTCATAAAATTATATAGTTTGTACATAAATTATGTACCTAACTATGCGTTTATCATTATATTTATGTAATAGCCTTTTGTTGAAAAAAAGTCTTATATTATACTTCAATTTTGTTAAAAAATAATTACATATGTATCTATTAATGAAAGTTAAGGTGAATTTTATTCGCATTTATTATTGATAATTTTCAAATATTTTAATATTGTAACTTACTATTGCGCACTTTACTATATTATTATTGTTTGATTACTTTCGTTCGTATTTTATTTCATTTTTTTTCGCATTAAAAATGTTACTATTAGTCAGTCATGAAATCATAATTATTATGATACAGCTATAGAGAATTTATGTTCATGTACTTCTTTCCTATTATAATTGATTAGTAGTCATACCGACTACGGTTTTTTGTTTATTTTTTGAATATTTAGAACATAGTTTCTAGGTATTTTAATGTGACCGAGTTTTCTATACATAATTGATATTTTATTACACTTTAATAGATTTGAAATAATTTTAAACCCGAGTTAGTATTAACATATTAAAATCGTGTTGAACATAATAACTATATCAACACATCATTTGAAAATAATAATGAATAATAATTGTTTATCATACTGACAATCAAATATCACTCTATAGTAAATTTTGTCACAATAATGTATTGTAATACCTTCTTCTTTCATACATTTTTATGAATGTGCCAACATTTCTCTCGGTGTTGTTGAATTTTTAATTATATTGGTAATTAATTAAAATTATACACCCAATATTAGGATTTTAAAAATCGTATGGAATAGAATTTAATTTGTTTTACAATATATATATATATATATATATATACATATTATGATTAATAGTTTTCCAATGTAATAAAATATATTTTATTTGTTTTTTTTTTCAATTAAAGTTTATTATACTCATATTAAATTTCCTGGTTGTTTTATTCTTTATCTTTATAAAAAAATCTAGTAGTTTTTCCTACGACGACGTATAATCTTCTCTGTCCTCATCCAATAATCGTACTTAACGTACAAAACTGTAACAATGATATTATGATAATCATTTGTTATTCGAATACGTTGAAGGAACGATTTTTCAGTCATGGGAAATCGCGCTTGCAGGTTATTTCTCACGGATGTACGCGTTCGTATTATTGTGCACAATGGGTATCGAGCTAATCCCAAGTTAATATGATCACTAATGCAGAAAATTGATAAATAGATCCCCGACCCTTTATTCGGCAATCGCAGCGTATGTACATAGAATTGTTTATGCTAGCTCATTACCGATAATCCCTCATAACAATCTCCCATTAACAATTACTTAATTTTATTAATGTTCTAGCCAACAGTTTCTGATGGTTTGGATATTTCTCAGTATATAATATCAATAAACATACCCACACACACACGTATTAGAGAGGTGAATTCGAGCTTAGCCGACGATTTATTATTATATTATGAGACAACAGACTAACAATTTTACCGCAAGTTCTTATATTATCCTTTTGTCTGTTTAACCAAACGGACACGCATACACACATCGCCTTTGTAAATAACTGTGCGCATTGTTATAGGTATCAAATATATTTCCCTCTCTTTCTTTCTCTCTCTCTCACGATGTTTTTACATTTACATATTATAATCGTATCAGATGATGTGGTCAGAGTGCACCTAAATACTTAACCTTAATACCTAACCCTATATATACGTCCAGGTGTGTGTATACACACTTTATTCAACAAACAATTATTCATCAGATTCGACGTTCAATTTTTTTCTTCTTGAAATTGCTCCTCTGCTTACCAAGGTTGTTGTATACATTGTATACAACACGAAGTTTTTATGACTTCAGATTTTTGATGCCCGATTCAAAGTACTTATGAGGGCCGAATATATATATATATACCGAGGGATTTTCGCGAGGAGGGTTTATTCCTTCTCTTACCCTTCGTTACGTGGCAACGGTAGTCCATTATTTAACTTCGGAACATCTAAAGTCACCCGTTTCCATATAATTACGTCAATTACGTTTCTTTTTTCCATCGACGGCATCGTGATTAAGTGTTTCCTGTCACGCGATGAATCTTTTCGATAAACGCTTTCCGTAAATAAAACGATTAGATACTGTCATCGTCATCGTCTTAGCCTTCCGACTCGTGAACTTTTCTACGACAAGTTCACATATCCTCCCCTTTTAAGATTTGTCTATTTAGGTACATATATATATTCTATAATCTTTTTCTCAGATTTTCGATCTTCTCAACAATTAAATTAAACGATAACATACATCAACGAGGCGATAAAAAAAAAAAAAACATGCGGACGGTACATAGGTGATTAAGGCCCACCATTAATATTTATTGAGTTAGGATACGTCCCGTTTTAAAACTTGGAATAACTTGATTTGTTCGAAAATAGTAGTATTAAAAAAAAAAAAAAAACTAAAATCTCAATAAACATTTTAAACCATTCAAATTTAGAGTCAAAAAATTACGTTCAGTACACTTTGTCGTCGAAAATTTCCAAACTAAAATCGGGTAATTAATTTATTTAATTAATTTCTTAGTTTTTTGTTTCGTTTTAAATAGGTTTCATTAGTGTATGAATCATATTTATACACACATATTCTTTTAGTTGACACTGTTTTTTTTGCAGCAGCGTCTGTTTCGACGTTATATTTTCTATGTTTACGTTTCATACCATCTTGAATAATAAAAGGGAGCGACTTTTTTTTAAATTAAAAGCAAGATTTAAACAACCATTTTAAACATACTGAAAGATAATGATCACTATCACTATACACTCGTTTTGTTTTGCATGGTTTTTTTTCGTCTTCGAAACAACGCCACAGTCGTGTACTACAGTATAAACGATGCACTGTGCTAATAAAAAGTAAAGAAAATTACTGCATTTTTTGCAGCATGATTTTTTACTTAAAATTAACTGCGGGAAAAAATAAAATTCAAGAAATAAACTCGTTTTTTTCCATTTAAAAAAAACGTAACGTATGATAGTAGCAATGGTTTTATTTATTGTGACTAAATCAAATCCTTCCCTCCCCCCCTAACGGGTAGAAATAAAATGTGTTTTGACCGAAAGTTTTAATTTTATGCGTGCGTTTGAGTGTTCGCAATGGGGCATGGCATTTAAATTAAACAATTAATTAAGGGAAATGAACTACAATTTTACACATTCAGACTAATAATCTAAAATAATATAATCTACTTATGGTCGTCCGATTTTAGTTTAAAAACAAGTGCTTTAATTCCCTATCGTTTTCATCTCCGGATTAACAATAATAATAGTAATATTTTCAATTGCTCCGGGTTACGTTAAAACCTAAAGTGAACTCGCAGAAAATCTCGTTTGTGCAGAAATTATTCATAGGAATTATAAATGTATAATGGAATGCGTTTCAATGGCAAACATAAACATGAAGTCACTCATTCGCTATCTCAGATGAATTAGTTAAATTCGTGGTAATAACAAACGTCGGCATTATGATAATATTGTTTGAATGTCAAAAAAAATTATAATTATAATTTCTAATATAACGATAGATAATTTGCATATCTATCTGTGGCGTGACGAAAGTATTATTTTGAAGCAATTGCTCCTCCAAAATCGTTGGTGGATAGATGGTCCCCCTACCTCGATCCAGCCACCTAAGGATATCATAGAAAATATAAATATACTAGGTACGTAAAAAATATATGTACGAGTATCTTACTAATGTGACCTATGTTCTACACACTAAATCATAAAACCTATGATATTAATTATAGTTCAACAATTTAGTTGTGCGTTGAAAACACCAGTCTATCGATGCAAACGGCCATTGTTGGTCAGTTTAAATGCTTTTATAAGGAAAACATAGATAAGTTGGTTGGTTCTAGAAATTCGTTCAACTACCACTATTGCTTATAATCGCAGAATAATATAATACAGAATCCTTGGTGTTCCCACTACCAACGATATTTTATACAAATTAAAAAACGTTACAACAAATATAAAAAATGACATCAAGACCCAACAATAAGAACAAGAAAAAAAAATAAGAAAAAAATGTAACATATTACCACTATATTTAATATAATACGGGTCAACGGAGAAAGCGGATGCCCTTATCACCTCCCCTAGCAACCACAAAGGGTATATTTAATTGTAACCATTGAATGCCTTTAGGATGAAGATGTTGGGTCGGTGGGTGCCTTGGATACATTTTTTGCTCTTCACCAAAAATAAGTTCAACACTGATCTCTAATGACGGTTAAGTATCACGATTACTGTGTCAGATATTATAATTTGATATCTAGAATCTAATAAGTTAAAATACCATACAATTCTTAATCAAGAAATGAATAGCTTAATATTATATTAATATTATACAAAATCAAGTTTTTTATTTGAGTTTTGGTATTTGGCTGATATTATTGTTATACAAGCGAATATAAAACCAAATTAAATTTCAAATTACTTCCTTGTATCCGGATTATCGTCATATACGATCATATATAAAGATGATAATCCAATAATATCCTATATTGTTGGAAATCGTTTTAGCTAGATTATCGTTATATACGGCATAAGCTGTATCGACTGTATTACACAAAACTATTCTTTTTATAAATAAGGCAATGAATCCTACCAATATATATTTTTTTTTCTTAGAGCGCTTACACACTAGCATATGCGTGTCCAGACCTCCATGGCTGGGGACGCCAATTATAAAATTTAAATCTTACTTACTACAATGATCTATAATTTGTATCTATATTTGCGACTTATTTTTGTTGTATGGAAATTATATAGCACCTGGAATTTTTTCACCCCGTCAAATTAAAGATTTTCTTGATCTGAAAATTGGTTTCCTATGCTATTACAACTATGAACTAATAAATAAGGCCTATTAACTAATGCGCTACTTATTTATTTTTTGTAAATATTTTATCAACTATACATCAACCTTCTATACCCATCTTATTACAGTTATTACATAATAAACAGTTATTTATCAGTTTGGTTAAACAAGTAATTTATTAAAATATTACAAATAATAAAATTCAATAAATTTAAAATTTAAATTCATCTTCTACTTAAAATCACCTACTGTTACTGTTTCAGCCACGGATATAGATATTATATATTCGTGGTTTCTCCATTATAAGCCAAGAGGCCAAGAACGTCGCTAGGGAGGCCGGTGCCCACGCCTATGCACACTAGCGTAATAAAACGGTGAACATGTGTTCGTGCATAACAAATCGGCAATCCGTAAACTGTCGGTATTTCGACGTAACATTAATAGATATCGCGCGAACACAAAACACATAAATACACAAAACTTAAATATTATTGATTATTTTTATTTTTGTAGTTACTAGCTTATAATATATACTTCAATAAATTAGTCGACTGCCCACAGCCCTTGAATATTAGTCATACATTTTCTCGTCAGAATATTTAACTTTAATAATTATCTTTCTCATATTTTTAATTATGACAGAATTGAATGAAAAAAAATACCCTCAAGTTTATTGAATGCTATAAAAATAATGAAATAATATGAGATCCAAAAAATAAAAACTATTTTAATAAATCTTGAAAAATAATGCAAGGTACAATAATACAACCAAACTATACCAATGCATTTTAACTCAAATCTCTATTTGTAGTGACATAGATACTACACCCAGCGACTGACAGAACAACTATGAAGTTGATTATTTATCATTTTACGGAAAACACGCGAACAGTTCGTCAAACATTTCATCGAATATTTAGTTGAACAGTTTTGCGCTTTGTTACCCTAAGTTTACGCGCCTTTATATATCAAGTTGTCAGATCACATTGATACGGTCGTTTGGATACGGAGTTATTAAATTATCGATCAGGATGCAAAGGCTTACATGGCCGTCCTCAAATATACGATAGGCAACTAAAATGTTCGGACGAAAATTACCTGCTATCATGAAAATTTGACACAAAGGTGAAACTAGACACCTGCAGGCCCTAAAGTTATATATAATATAGGGCACCCTAACCAAAAATGTAAATTGTCTTAGACAATCCTAGGTACACCGCTTCCTCCCCTGCCATAAGATAATCAAAACCATTGTATCGTCAATAGTGTCATAAAACTAAAAATAGTTCGATAAGTTAATATTATTTTTAAATGTTATAAGTTAAAATTAGCGTTAATATTTCTAGAGCTCATCTTGAAGGGCGGAGGAGCGGCAAAAAATGTTTGATCCGTGGTGACATTGGACCTTAATTCGACCCTGGTTATATCTGTGTAATACGTAGAAGGAACTATATTACCTTACTTCTGCGACCACCGCTGCAGTACTCCACTGCTATAAACGTGTATTAGATTATAACACGTGCATGGGCATCTGTAAACACGTAACCCATAAAAACGTGTGCTCGTTGGGCGAGTCCAAATCATTGACGTCGACCGTTATTACTACGACGTGATCGTTCTCCGATGGTCCAACGGCACTTTTGAATATATCCAATTTGTTCGCCGGAAAACATTTGCGTGCACACGTCCTACACTTAACTTCCTCCCCTCCAACCTCCCCCTTCTATTTTATATGCACTCGATTTTAACGTGCGTGATCCAATTATTTTTATGTTTCGCCCGCCGTTTGTATTGAAATGTAAAACGTCTGCTGATAGGTTTCCGCAAGGGTTCCCTTCAACCGCGCTGTATTTTTAGATTATCGCATTTGGAAACTATGAATTATTTTTCCAAACTTTTTGCTCACGAATCTCCACCTGTTGAACCGTAAACCGTTCACGGTACAATATTATACTTAATTGTTTGCGATTACGATTGATAAATTGACAATTTTCGATTCAACGTACACGTACGGCAAGGTTTCAGACAACTACATTTCAATTGTCTGTGTAATAATATTGCATACCACGGAATGCAGGGCCATATTGTATATATTATTGCGGTTAAATGACTTCAAACAACTCCTATTGACTGAGTTCAAAGTTTGTTGTTTACTTATCTCATCGTCACTAAACGAATTCGTTATAAATCGTCCAATTGATAAACAGTTTGCTAATGCATAGACATTACGTTATTCCGTGATATCCATGCATACTATTTGTTTTAAACCATTTCGTGATATCACGTGTGCTCTATTTTTTGACCCGTTATCAAATGAAGATTTCTTGCGACCGATAAGTTATTCGAAGATCATGTTCACGAGTGCAAATTTCATTTGGATACAATTATTCGTTTTACGGCGTTGATATCGATTCTAATTTTAAAATCTGGATTTTTAAAACCGCATTTACTCTAAAAGTTAGGTGCGCCGGATACGATAAAAATGAAATAATAATTACATTATTGTAATACATAGTACAATGGATCATCCGTTGCTATTGACAAGCATAGGAATAATTCGGAATTTCTTCGTCAACAATCTGCTCACGAGTACGCAGCCACAGAATATGCCGAAAGCTAAGAATAAACCACCACCATCGTCACTGAAACCTACGCGGGGGGTGATAGAATATCGTACGATACAACGTGTCCTCCACTTGAAGAATGCCGTAAATTCATTAACGATCAAACTTTGGCATGACCGAATAAACACAGACGCGGTATATATTATATGGGCGTGTAGTACGCGCCGAAAAATTATGTACATGTTTATAAACAATGTATACAATGCGATTTGGCCGTTGTAATTAAATTTAAACAACGGAACGAAATCCAATTAATTCAAGTGTAACCTAATATTGTAATGTTACACTATAACTAATGGCCTCTGTGTAGTGGAAAGGTGTGTAGTGGACGCGATTGTAAAAAATTATCTAAACATTTTAAAAGTATTTTAACCGTTCCACTGAATATAGATGTATTTAGTAAATCGAGTTTCATAATTATTTGTGTATTCAATTATGTACGAACGGTCGAAACGTACAACAGAAAACCGTATATAATATTATGTTGTACTCGCTGGGGAAATAAAAATAAAAACAAACGCTAATAGCGTTATCAGGTAAACACTAAATAATAATAATAATAATAATTACTGTTGTGTTTTATATAATTATAAATATGGCCGTGAGTAGTACAGCTCCGGATATTAAAATATAGATACTCGTAACGAAATAATGTTTCTGACACGTACCTATTTTACAAAAATTCAAACCCTTCATTTATATATATTTTTATACGAGCGAGCATGTGCTGGATCTACATATTTATGTGAAAAAATTTAATTTACAAAAACGTACAATTTTTGTTTCCGATTAGACGCGACTGTAAAACCCACGACATGCTATCAGTTTTGTAAATATATAATACTGAAAAACGGAATGAACAGTTGAACATCTCGAAATTAACAATTCTTCGATAAAAAAAAAAAAATCCAATAATTATAAATTACGTTAAAAGGAATAACACATTTTTAATTTAAAAATAAATTTTTTTTGACGAACACAACATATGCAAATAATAATATGTCTTATTTATAATGTAAAACAATAATGCTCGTATCTTAATAATAATGATAAAACCTATTGCACGGCAATAAAGGATACTATAGTAGTAACACCAATACCTCACGTACATGTCCCCACCCCCACCCATTTTCATTTTAAAACTTTTTCCTATTTAATGCTCTTTTCCTGCCGATTCCTGTCACCACTTCCGGAATTTCTGCTCAACTTCCACCTCTGCAAAAATCAAAAAACTATGGTATAATCATAATTATAAAAAAAATCTATAATCTTATATACTAACTATTAAAATACCTATACATTAAACATTTATAAATATATTTTATATTATCATTCTATTAACATCAAAATAATACATACGAAATTTATGGTAAAATTACATAAATCTGACCCCTTGTAACAATATAATAAATCATAAAAAAAATTACGAGTATTCACTTTTTTTCATTTCATTTTCGGTCATAACTCGTTCTTTAAAAGTCATTACAACGGCGACACATTCTGTAGGGTTTACATTTGACTTTCGACCCATCATTTAAATAAATGAGTTTTATCATAATATATAAACCGTACAATATTATATTAATACATTTTTCTGTTTGTTGAAAAACAATGTGTTTTATACAGAACACAATAATGAACGTTTACGAGCAAATGCGAAACAGCAAATTATAAATTATTATTATTAAAATATAAAATATAAATTTTTCTATTTCAAAAACTACGCAATGGATTCTGTATTCTATATTTAGAACTAAGAACAATCGATAAAAATAAAATTACTATTGGTAGATTTAAGTTGTAATGTTATAATAATAATAATATTCTAATTTAGACACAGGGTTAATTTTGTATACAAATGTTTTAGTAGATATTGCATTGCCCTGTACTCTACATGGAGGGTTGAGACAGAGACTAAAATTGCGTGCAGTACGACACACTTTGTGTAATACAAAATTTTAAGTGTGTAGTACGAAATTTAAAAGTGTATTGTAGTTCTATTCCCTATACTATGGCATTTGTTTATAATTTTATATATTTTTTAAATTCCTAGATGTATCATATGCAAAATCTAAAATACCGACTATTATAACTGTGTTACTCATAACTGTTAACGTTTGAAAGGTGAGTATGACAAAATCCTTAAGTGTGCAGTACGACAAAGTATATATTTTAGCGTTTGGGTTAAAGGGCATATAAGGCAAACATTATAAGACACCAAGTTAAAAATAAAAAACTGAGTGATCTACTTTTTTTTTGTATTTATTTAAAAAAAGTTTTCGTATCAAATGCAACTTTTTTATAAAACATATTGATTAGATACCAATTTAACGTTGGTGCAGTAGTGCCGACTTGTATTTTATTTGGTGTGGCAAAGTATAAACATTTGTTAATACCATCACCCAAAAAGTTAGAACAAATAATGACAGGTTACATGATTGAACGATTATATTGTAAATTTAACCATCATAAAGTCACTCGCTTCGCACGCAATTTATCACTCCAATTTCATCTATTAGATAGGAAATATTCAGAAGTGGCGTATCCAGGGGGGATAGGGGGTTATAACCGACAGCCCGCACTATTAAGTCTATTTTAGAATACGATTGTATTTATTGTTAAATGTGCCGCTTAAAACAGCACTTAAAAATAATAATATAAATTATGATCGAGTAAAATGCCACATATTTTATCATAAATCAATAATCGTACAGACTGAAAATTATAATTATAAATTAGTTATTAATTATTACCTATTTACCTTACTTATTGCTTATCTATTTCATATTGGTTTTAGAAAAAAAACACTTAATATCAATTTGAAACGTATATAAATATAGGTTTAATTATTTAAATATTAAATGCGTTATTAAAATTAAAGAAATGTAAAACAAAAAACTGTTTATTTAATTTTTAAACTATTGTAATTAAAAAAAAAGATATTTTAAAAATGTTTCACGGCAGTGGCGTAGCTAGGATTTTCTAAAGGGGGGTGTTAATTATAATTATTAAATATTATATATAATACGCACAAACTAAAACTTTTATTTTAATTAATTAATATGTATACACAATGTCTGTAATATAGATGTAATGTATATTCGAATTCGGATAGCTTTACCATAAATTATTCGAATGTCAGTATTCGATGCTATAATACCTATTATTATTAAACGTTTTGTGTTGCACGAAAACGTAAACGAATAATTTTCATCACGTATTGTCGCAATCGCGATAATGTTAACCTGTATATATGTAATTAGTATTGTGCATTATTTTATATTTCATATTGTATTATCGATTTACCTATTTTCCTATAATAATGTAATATATGATACGGCTCAAGGGGGGTTTCATATCTACCAAACACCCCCCTTGTATACGCCAATGTTTCACGGGGTTATTGGAATTTAAGTAACTATCGTAAAATGTTTAAAAGATGTATTTGCATGCTGTATAATCACTTTTAAACACTGACTATCGAGAGGCGTTTAGCTTCATCATGTGTACGAAATAGATATAAATGTCAATGTACGTCTTTATACTTAATATAATATAAAGATATGCATTGATAGGTAAATTGCTCTATCGCATTATAGTATCCTACCATCTATAGATCGACTGTCACTTAATTTGTACATTCCTAAGATTTACTAACTAGAGTGTAAATTTATCCATACAACCCACCACCATAGTTAAATGAAAAGGCGAACTGCCCCATAAAAGTATGTGTTCGGTGACACTGCGTTGGTGACACTATTGGCTAGAATAAATAAATAGATATGTAACATGTACCTACCACATAATAATATGTTATACTAACTAACTACTGTACATGTTCTATTTTAGAATTATCTAATAAATATTAAATTAAATAAAAAACAAAGTAATTAAAAAAAAAAAAATTAACTAACGATTTTCAGTTATAATAATAATTATAATTATAATTATTATAAAGTTACTGTAAACCGTAATAAACAAACATTTTATTCAAAACATCGCGAAAGAATCATTGCTGAAAAACTATATTAATAGGTTGGTTTAAAATGCTAATTAATTAACGTTAAGCGTGCATATTAATGATATAGGTATTCGGAGTCCTCAAAGACGGGTTCTGAAATATTTTTTATTTTTAAAAATACTAAATAAAAACTGTTATATCAATAAAAAAGTCTAATATGAATAAAAAGCCATGTTTAAAAAATCTAATTAGAATCAAAAGCCAAGTTCTATTTCATTATTTCAAATAAATATATAATTTGAAAAAAAAATCTTAAATCAATATAAAATCTAATTAGAATAAAAAAAAAAAAAAACCTAGTTGATTAAAAACTATGAATTTTTTTTATAAATTTTATTTATGATGATATATTTGAAAGAAAAGTCAGCATTGTAATTATTCAATAACTTTTATAAAATAAATGGGGTTCCAACAAATGGTACCGTTTCGGGCACTCTTTTTTCCTTCACAACCATTCAAATTATCTCTCAACGACCCTGTTCTTTGCACTCATACTCTTACTATACGGGACATTAACAATATTTTTAACTGCATAATTTTATCTTCGGGGCGATTACAGTTCTTTGCCCTTTTTGATTCTATAATACATCCTTTTAATATTGAAAACATACTTTTTTCTTAATCAAGCACTACCATATTTGCTACTATATCATTCATTCTTAATTCCAGACTGCTTGTAATATCTTTAAAAATATTTTTAATTCTTTTGTCAACATTTTATACTCAAATGCTCGTATATATATATATATATTTTTTTTTAATAAGCTAAATTTTTATTTTTAGACTTTTTGCTAAACCAAAATTATTTTATCGACATTATTGAAAGACAGCTTAAATTGTATACACAGATACAAAATAAAATAAAAATAACACACATGCATCACGGTAAAATCTATACATACCTCATTTCACTCAGAATCTTAAATGGATAAGGTACATACAATACATAATAAATATACACATCGCAACGCACCTGTATTAACATAGTATTATTATTTATATTCAGATTGAAACGAGGGATCTAGTACCGGCAGACTGGGTACATAACAGATCAGTGCGCGGTGTGCGATTTTGCGAAACCGTCCCAAGAGGAAAACAATATTATCGTATTCCATGTATATTTCTACACTAACAAGACAAGTACACTGCGACTGTTGTTGCTTTGTAAGAATCGAAAAAACGAACGAAATCACTTCCCGCTTGTAAACGCAAATCCGCTTAGAGCGCTTGTTGTGCTCAAGTCTCTCCAAAATTCACTCTTCACTGATCTTTATTTATAAGAGGTAGAAAAAAAATTGAAAGTGAATACTTACCATTATAAGTATACTAAAAATGGTATGATAGTTTTTAATAATAATAATTTATTCACATAAATAAATACAGCTTAGGAAATATACTTCTTCTTTTTGTCTAAAGGCTTAGCCTTGTTATACTTAGAAAATAGATATCAACTCCTCTTTCCTCAATCTCCTTAATCATACAATAGATCTTATTTTCAAGGCTTGGCAGTTAAAAAATTAAACCCTACCAAAGCTATCCTGCTTCTTAACCGCCAATCCATCGAGCTACCACGACCAAACTAAGACAGCCTAGATTAAAAATATAAATAAATAAAATGAATAAAAAATGAATAACTTAAGCTGTGCGAGGCTGTCGACAATGACCCATGGGGGCTGTCGTAAAGTAGCATATGAGGAAAGTCGGGTGACGTTCGTCTACTGCAGATTGTGAAGAGCCCATAACATGCGTTTTCTTTCTGTCTCTTCAAAACAAATATTTGTTATTCATAAAAACCTGAATAAGTAAGTTCGTTCCGGAAGCATTTGAAGAAGTCATCAGTGAGCATTCAAAAGATGCGGTGGTGGTGGCAGATTGATGGCCAACATTGGTGGTCTGTCGTATGCCAAAAGTCAACTTTTAATGTCAGTCGTCAACAGCAAACTGCTGCATAAAGCGCCAGTGAGGACAACGGTGATGGGGAATAAGCCGCAACACCTACACTCAGATGCAGTGGCGTGCAGCCTTGCGTGTGTTTAGTTGTTATAGAACGGTCTCTCTGATATGGCAGCCTCAGTCGTGACGATAATACCTCGGACTCATCTACTGGTCGTGGAACAAGTACGAGTCAGTGAGAGCAAAAATGATGGCAAAAAAATCATTATCAAGAGACAAGAACGCAAAGTTACACTGGACA